GGAGTCTGGAAATCTGTACTGAATCCACAATACTGAATTCACAGTCAAACAGTATGCGACAGTAACCAGCGATCTTTTTTCAATTCAATTGAAGATTTTAAGTTTAAACCATGCATCTAATCCTTGGATAAAAGCTAACTTAACAACTAATGTACCTATGTGTAGAAGATGGGACAGTACCCCACCGATTATTGATCAAGCATTCTTATCAACCAATCGATAGTCACCAATCCATGTTGATTCGTGGAAAATCGTTTCTCTCAACTGATGCAATCATAGTACACCACTTCCCGTTCAAGTTGAAATGAATTTCCAGTCAATGTGAAATGCAGAAATATTATAAGATTTCACAAGTGCAGTTTCACATCTCAACATGAAAAATGTTCACATCAAAATGAAACGTTAAACTTACTTCAACTATAGTATAGTGACCATAAGGTGATGAATTTTACTACCCTTCAGTATACAATAGTGATTCAATCATCATGTCTACCCTCCCTCACCCATCTTCCTCCTTTATCCAAATCATACACCAGAATATATATGAAACAAAGTATGTTGCAAGTTGAATGTTAGAAAATTCATGTTGATTTGAAAATCGTCGTGTTTCGAACGTGTTCATTTCACATTGACTGGAAATTCATATCAACTTGAACGGGAAGTGGTGTAGATATTCTCGATTTTCTTCCAATTTTCGATGAGCCGAGACATCTGATCGGCGAATATCCACTTCGTCCATTCCAGTAGAAAATCGAAATTGTGTTATAGCTAATCAGCGACAAGTAATTTCGAATTGACCAATGGGAGAGACTGATGTCCAGTTGATCGAATTGGGTCCAGAAATTCTCCAGTACAGCCAAGCGAACATCCGAGCACACCGACGCGATCAAAACTACTAAGGTGTTTCATGCAATTTCCGCCCAGCTTGTCCTACTTACTTTTGAAGTCTCGTAACTCATCGCACGAGAGTGTGATGAGGCTGCAAAAAACATGCATTCTCAAGGTCGTGAGGAACTCTATTTGTTTTATCAGGACCCATAGTTGTATCGCTTGTCCATTTTGCTCGACGAAGTTTTCAATTCTGTTATTTTCCTATGTAAATAAATGTATATTCCGCCCAGGTGTTTGACTTGAATAATGTATGACAGATTTGACCACCGAAATTCTCGGAACCTCTTAATAGTAATTTTATAAAGTGTACAAGGTAATCAATTTAGAAGTCATTGTAATTATGAGATTACATGAGTTGTTAAAGGATGCAGATATTAAATGCTAAGGGTACTGCTTACCTGAGTACCTAATTTTGTCCAATCATCTTCGTTTGATGATTGTGATTGGCTGCCAACTGGGCGGAAATTACATGGTGGGCGGAAATTACATGAATCACCTCTTCTCATTGAAGTATCTTTTTAATGTAAACTGGCAATTGTAAGGTGAAAAAGTTTGTCTTTTGCTTTTAACTTATGGTGAAATTTCAATCAAGCAAATCAGATTTCATTTTTGAAAAACGAAATCTGATTAGCTTGATACGAACTTTTCTGGGCTCGGATTTCCAGCCAACTTCAACTACACTGTACTACAGTGTACTAGTATTAATTAATACCTGTAGTCATGCCCATTTTTGCACGACCATAAATTGATAAATAAATACAGGTATTGGATGGATTCCACAGTGTAGGGACTTATAAGGTCATATACAAGTTGACATTAGCATTATTAATAGTATGTAGCAGTATTCAATATTCCGAATGCACTAATTTTGAAACTCGCAACGGCATACCCATGGACGACGATGCTTCAACAGCGCGACCGATGAATCCAGCGCTACAGTTGTGCTACGTAGGCTACCGCAGACGCCACCATGCTTCAGTGTTGCTGTTTTACAAATACCCGGTACTACAACCAAGGGTCGGATGTCGTTCGACAGTGGTGTCGGACGACTATCAGATATTTGACTTTTGTATCCATAATACCAATTAGATCATGGTGTCGGACGACCATCCGACATTTGATTTTTGTATACTACCGTTAATTAGATCATGGTGTAGGACAACCATCCGACACTTGGTTTTAGTATGCTTGATATCTTAGACCAAGGTGTCGGACGACCATCCGACCCGACACTTGTTTTTAGTATGCTCGAAATCTTTAGATCACCATGATCTAATGATATGATTTAGAATGTCCGATATCTTTAGATCACAATCCAATGCTGCTCTGAAGGATCGACGACAAGATGCAGCAGTCAGAACACCCTGTTCTGTCATGAACACCTGCCCTGAAGCCTCAGGTAGCAGCATTGGCTGCAGCTAGTAGGAAGTTTTTATCCCTTTTAAAGGTTTTTCCTCACATAATAGATAGCCAGCCATATCCACGGTACATCATTAGGATGCTGTGTCCTGATTGGCTAGCCATTAGCTAGTCCGTCGAGCCTTTAGAGCCAGCTGTTCTCACTGGTGACTAAGCTAATTCACTTTCCGTTTCACCCGCAACCACCCAGTGATACCCCTGGCTATTGCACCTCCCCACTGGTTATAAGCTCCACCGCATCCTCTGTTGTAGCACCCCGCCCAACCATCTCTCTCAGTCGTCCACCATCTGCGTGGACTCGACAATTTCGACAAGTGGCACTTCGAGTTGACCACGATCGTCCTCCAAGGAGAAGGCCTGACCACTCAGGCGACGCAATGCACTGGAGTCGAAGCCAAGTGGTCCATCAAGGGCATGACACGTGCATTTCGTGTCCTCGATGTGACACCAAGAAACTGCGTCGGCACATCAACGTCGAAGACCTCCGTCGATTGTCGGGGCCATCACTCCCACCACTAGTCCTCGATGGCGTGGCGCCCAAGCTCATCGATCCCATCATGGAATACCTGACCGAACATCGTTCGGCTAAGTTTCTCAAAGCTCGTGCGGCCAATGCCGCGCTAGACCAACTTCTCAAATCCGAACACGCGGACGTCGAACGATCCATCGCGTTGGTCTAGATGTCGCAGTCGGGGGCAAAGCGCCGCGACGCCGTGCTGCAAACCTCAGTCAATGGGCCCACTGTATGCTCGAGTGGCCGCGCGGCAAGTTCTGCAGCGAAGAGCAGAAGTTTGCGTCCACCGTGGACGTCTACACCAAGTTCTAGGGCTGCAAGTTCGAGCGATATTGCTCGCTTGACGGCAGCCTGGCCACATTTGACAAGCTTCGAAAGGTCGTCGAAAAGCGTGAGAGCACGACTCTCAGCGACAGCCACCTGGCATTGGTGTTGCTGTCCGCGCTGCCTGAATGTATTGCGCACGATGTGCAAGTATGCTGCGGTGTTCGACCCAGCATCCCATACACCCAGTTGCGGGACCTTTTGCCGCAGCATTGGCACGAGTTGACCCAGAAATAACTAGATTTCTTGGGTCCCAAACTGACGGCTCATGCTGTTCCGGTTCATGGTTCGGGTCAAGCGCCCAAAACCACTCAATCGAGCGCTTTACGCCTCTCGAGCTATGATGACTACGGTCAAACGACCGGCCACAGTCCTTGGCGCTCGCAGCGCGACATGCCGCACGAAGATCACCGCTTTGTGACTACTGCGCACATGCAGGTCACCGCACGATAGATTGCACGAAGCTTTCTCGTGCATTCCACCAAAATGCCGTGCGACGCGATTTTGTCTTCCCACCCGGATGGGTGGCGATCCCGCCAGGGCAAACCCCACCGCACGGCCGTGGTCGACGAAACCAACACGGCCAGGGTAGTGGTCGTTCCCACCCCGACAAAGACCCACCAATCGCCCACGCGGCGGTCATGGAGGCGGTCGTGGCGGTCGATCCGCCCATTACTAAGTTAATGTTGGTGTGTTGCTCAACGTACTTCAAAAAGGCCTAGCCCATGGCGGTCAAAACCGAGGCGGCTATGCCGAAGGCGGCCACTCCCAACGTGGTTACGACCACGGCGATTATCCAAACCGCGGCTACGCCCAAGGCGGCCAACAAAGAGTCGCGTCTACGGACCGACGCGATTAACGTTTCGCCACCACGACGATTGCAGCCACTTGCGCGACCGACCCGATGATTCTTTGAATGATGGTTATCATTGTTTGGCTCCTCCGGAGCTATAACCCGTCCAAGAGGACCGGCGAAACTGCAGTCGCGGCTCCCACCAAGTTGGCCCCGGTGAAAATACCGGAGGAAACGACCATCGTAGTCGTAGTCGTAGCGTAAATCGCAGCGACGCTTCTCGTCAACATGGCCAGACTCGTTATTTCCGTTTTCATGAACAGGCACATTTGCGAAAAATTACCACACCTCGTGACAACAAATCGGCATCAATGCCTCGATTATCTACACCTAGATTAAATGAAATTCAATCGGCACCATTGGCTAGATTAAATGAAATTCAATCGGCATCGTTGCCTAGATTAACGACACCTCGTGAACAACAAAAACATGTCGGTACTACAACAGTCGCGACCGCGATATAAATGTATTGAGCGAGTCAAAATGCTTTCGAAAATACCAAAAGACTTTCGTCCACATTTTGACTCGCTGAATACATTTATAGCGCGGTCACTATTATGCACAGCTACTGGCTGGGCACTTAGTGTGTCACCGACTAGTCCTACAGTTCAACAACAACTGGACTCCTGTCTATGGACAGTCGACAGTGGTGCTTCCAAGCACCCCACTTTCAAATGAGAATGGTTCGTCACATACGAAGCTACTCATCACTAGCTGGTGCAGCCAATGGCCACCCACTACACGTCGTAGGTCGCGGCACAGTTAGACTTTGCGTCACTGGCTCAAACGGCGACCCATTGGCGATCTATCTGCAGGATGTATACCACATCCCAGAACTACACTTCACTCTTTTCCGTTGGTCGAGCCCTACACATGGATCGACACAAAATTGTCTCCATCGATCCCAGCGTGTGGACTCTAGCCACGTACGATGGCGAGTTCAAGGCCGAGTATGCGCCGCACTCAGGGTTGTACGTCATACCGACGCTACCCCACCTTCATATGCATGGCCCGGCCACCACTGTCCTTCTGACAAAGTCCAGTGCCCAGTGCCCGTCATGACAAGCTCCGCATTCTGTGGCGTCATTTAAACCTCGTCGACTTTCGGATCTCACGGCAAGCCATCACGGCTCATGCCTCGTGTGACACATGTCTAAGGTCGAAGTCCAAGATACTTCCCTTTTCCAGAAGCAAACTCCCAAAGACGTCGAGGCCTCTCGAACGAGTGCACTCTGACATCTGGGGGGCGATCAACATCCCCTCCATCGCTGAGGGTAGATACTTCGTGATATTAGACAGATTTCGGAGTGGTTTGCAGTGCATTTGCCCCAGAAAAACACTCCAAATATTTATAAAGTCTACGGCACCTGTAAATTTCATGTGGCAAGCCGTGAAATTGTCCAAATTCACGGCAGCCTGTACTCTGTCTGTAAATCCCAACAGCCACGGCATGTCCGAGGAAGGTAGCGAAGGAGTGGAGGTACATGAGAAGAAGTGGTGGACGGAGGAAGAAGACAAGATTCTATTGGCCCAAATCAATAACATGAGACCCTTTCTGCAACAGAAGGACACGCGCAAAGCATAGGACACCATGGCCGCGACGCTGAAAGACGTGGACGGCTTCACTCGGCCAGGCATCGACGGTAAGAAGGCGCAGAACAGGTTCCTTCTCCTCGTTCGCCATCACAAGTCCAACAACAATGAGGCGGCCCGGCTTTCAGGCGCCACCGAAGACGAGACCCCCAAGAGCCGCCTGCAGGTCGGTCGCCTTAAGGATGATACAACTGTACTACCTCAGCGAGTATGCTATCTATTACGAGAACTTTAAAGGTTATATTTCATATATTGTGCCCAAATCGGCTGAATTGAAGGCCCAGTGGTGCCAATAATGAACATAAATAGACTGAACAAAACTTGCATACAAGTGAGCAAACGCCACCGACGATTGTTGGTGTCATTCACTTGTTTTCACCTGTGGATGTCATTGCAGATTTCTCCATTCTTGCACCATGGAGCTCTTCGGGCCAGCACCCGACACTTGTTTTTATTATACTTCGTTCATGGTGTTGAACCATCCGAATTTGAATTCTGTATGCTTGATATCATTAGATAATGGTGTCGGATGGTCGTCCGGCACTTGGTTTTAGTATGTCGAGATGTTCATACGGATAAAGTCCAACGCTGGTGTGTGATTGGAACAAGCAGTGGTACATTTTATTTCCGATGCATATATGAGTATAAAGTTGCATAAAAATCGATAATGTGATCCAGGCTGCTGGATTTCTTGACTTGGTAATTGTATCGGTGGCCCTGCTGGATTTTCTTATCCGGCACGTGGTAGTATTCGCTGCTGTTCGACAACAGTTAGTCTAGCAATTACAACTACTGGTACGTAGTATCTCGTTTTGCTTAAAGACATTCGTCAATTGGTTAGGAGGGCTGATAAACTCATGGATTAGTGTCTTGGGATTCAGCAATGAAAGAAGATGCCTTTTTCTCATAATAGAACGAGAAAAAGGCATTTTCTTTCATTGCTGATTCCCAAGACGCTCCAAGAACTCGAAGTAAACCAGTAACACATCCGAGCGGGTTCACATAATGGCCGCATATGTGCTGTCTACAATAATTGTACGCCGCTCAACAACTGTATAGAAAGAGGTCGAAGCTCTTAAATGTGGTCCGATCTCTTGGTACCACCTTTCAGTTAGCACTGCTTCAGCAGGTACTACGTATTAATAGTACTCCGAGGTGTACTTAGTGCCCCAAGTATAAATAACAGTTACCCAATATCGTGAAAGGTAGTAGTAACCATATCCGTACAAAGCGTCACTAATGTGCGCATTCACATGATTTGATACTGGAATTGGAATTCCAGCCAAAAGAACCATCAAGGATACTTGATATGAGGTGCAATACCCGTGTGAGCCGAACAATTCCGAATAGTCGTAGCTGACACCTCGTCACAAGCCTCTGTTACCCACATCATGGCCCGGAGAACGTCAACCGCATATTGGTTCTTTCGCTGCTGGTCAGACATCATGTTCCCGACGGTAATCTCATCAACAACTCCAATGGCGTGGTCCAGCTGATGTCTCTTGTAGTACTGCTTGAACGTTTAAATGATTCTGGCGTCCATAGGTTGCAGCATAGAAGTCGTGTTCGGCGGGAGCATCAGCACACGCACATTGCCAATGTTGGCCCACACTGTTCGGTGTGGAGTATCTTTGTAAGAGACAGATAGCATCCTTGCCCATTGGTGAAGGATCTGTCAAAACGGCCGAAAAGAGCTTGATAGGGGGTACAAATGTGCGTTGCTAATCAGTAGATCTAAGTCCTTTAGGGGCTCTTCCAAGTAACTTTCAAAAACGAACGGAGCCAATCAGAATCATTTTCGTCGTACTTTGAACTCACTTTTTCAAAGTGCGATGGCGAGTTAGGTTTTGGTCGTGTTTTGGGTATTTTTGCTTCCCAAGTAGGTTAAAATGATTGGGTTACGTTTTACTTGATCTAAGTATTGGATGCACCCTGGGGCTGCAAGTAGCCGCCATTTGTCGACGTTTTCTCGTCAACTGCACCACCAGGAACAGTGAAATCAATCCCACTTCCGCAGGATACCTTTGGGGTCATGTTCCTACGACTCGTATGACCTAGCGCTTTGTGCTTGGACCTAGGGTAGGTCGCAACCGATGCCGGCAAATTTCGCTGGCGCACATTCGTGTTTATATGAAAATTAGTATATATGCATATGCCGCTGTGATTGGATAGGTTTGTCCAATCCGTGTGTGCTGAAATCCTCAAAACACGATGCACCCAAACACGACAAAACCATTACTAGCCAATCATGTGGAATCAGAAAACACGACAAAAGCACGACCAAAGTGCGATGAAATAACGACAAACTTACTTGGGAACGCATTTTGGGTTTAAAGTACGACGGAACTTGGAAGAGCCCCTTAACATTGTCAGTCTTCTTTTACCTTTGAACCCGGTGCATTGAGTTCTAAAGGAGTCACTGCCAGTTCAGGACCGGCAGACACAACAATAAATTGATTAGTCTCGTTTTTCTAAAGGAACTCAAGCTTGCAAGCACCATGGAGCCCGAGCCCGCCACCCCGCGTGCCCCGGCACCCTCGACGACATACGATCTACAACAAGGTTCGTTATCGGACCGTACCCTCGACGATGGCTTCTACAACGCGTCAGCGGCGGCGGCGACCCCACAGCCAGCAGGTGCAACGGAACCGATGGCGAGCCTCTCACGTGTGCAGGTATTACGACGGATCCCGGAGACGTCCGGGCAACAACAAGGATACCCACTAGGCGCGGTCTACGGTGATCTCCCAGCGCAGTCCTATCGCCCAAAAGCGCGACAGTTGTCGCGGGGGGGAAATTGCTTGTCGATGGTCATGTCCATTGTGCGACCAACTACCATGGAGTGCCGACGACAACGACCCGACAGCCAGGTCAACTACCAGCTTACCACGGCTGTCAGTCATTGATGGGTGTAATTCACGGTGGACAACGTGTCGCACCGTCACAGCATACGTCGTTCCATCATCACGTCTATACGGCGCCTGTGCTCGCGTAGGACCAAAGGTGTGTCGACCGAGTGCGGGTGCGCGCCCGCCTTGCAACAGCACGAGCTGCAAATGACGGCACATCGCGAGCGCATCGCGGCAGACGGGCGTCAGGCCCACTTCGAGTGGGAGCAGCGCCAGATCCACGAAGCAGCTGCGCAGTACAAGTACGCGGTAAAACACGATGCGGCTGCGCACGCCGCGCAGTTCAAGGCGAACATGGAGCGCGAGGCATCCAGGCACAAGGTGCATCTCGATACGAAGCAGCAGCGTGCCTTCCTTCAACAATGCCAACCTCAACTTACAGCAGTGCAGCAGCAACAGCAACAACTGTGGCAGCAGCAGCAGCACAAGGCGTAGACTAATATGGACCAGCGTTTTGCAGCCATGCAGCAAGTGGTGTGTGTCCGGTACAACACGCAGCTGCGCGCAGCCGGTGTCGACGTCTCGACGGAGGGCGGCGCCGGGGTCAACATCCCGACCAAGGGAACGGCCGAGAACATGCAGTTGCCTGGGTCGCCGATAAACTCGGGATTGGGAGAGGCCCCACCAGGTGACTCGCAGTGGCAGCCTGCCTCCGTACCTTGACTCGGCGTGGTATCGCACCAGCTCGGAGCTCCCGCCAGGGAGTCTCGAAGTCGGTCGATGTTCTACACGATGGGCAGCAGTCCGATGTCGGCTCCAGTGCGACATCCGACCTCGATGGGCCCGTTGCCACAGTCGACGGCGGCGCGCTCATCAGCGTGCCCACGAAGCCACCTGTCTAGGGCAAGGACAGCTTCAAGGAGCGCGACCAACAGAAGCTCGCAAAGCGCTTCATCGTGTACGCCCGCGGCCAAGACGCCATTAGCGTGAGCAGCGGTGTGCGCATCGGGACGGTATCGATGAGCTCTGGTATAACGGCGGAGGCTCTCGCCCACCACGCGCGATTCCAATTCGATCGTCCCATCGAGGATATCCGCTAGACGGAGTGGGAGGCGATGTTCGAGGCGTCGATGCTCATACCAACGTCGAGCAAGGCCGTCGTCGTCGCCCGCCTCAAGCTGCTGTCGATGGACCACACCCTCATCCGCACGAGCGACTGCATGACGGACTGGCAGGCGAGGTACTTGGACATCCTCACGGATGAGGCAGCCGAGGACATTGACTCTACCATCCCAAGACCGTCATCAAGACGCTCATGCATCGCATCAAGCCCATAGGTGCGCAACAGCTACGACTTCGATGACAAGGAGATCAAGTTCAACATCTACAAGTTATGGAGCCATGCGCGCGGTGTGCTGAGCAACGTGTTCCAGGCCATGGCGACCGATGCTGACCACTCGCGCCAAGGGCATCAGCCACAAGAAACGTCCCGAAACAGCCCCATCTCCGGCAACAGTGTTGGTCGCCGAGGTCAAACGACTTAAAGACAACGCCACACTCACAGCCGCGGATGTCAAACATCTGATGCTCGAAGCCAGAGCCCACCCCGCTTCTGGAGGTGGGGGGTGGCGGTGGTTGCGGTAGCAGACCTCGAGCCCTACCCACCAGTGTGTCGTGCTGGTCCTGTAAAGGCCCGCATGACCTGATCACTTGGTAGGGTTCGCGACAATGCAGGACCAATTTTGTCGGACGGTTGACGACCGATCCGACAAGCACAAAATCGCCGACCGAAAAACTCGCAAACTTGACTTGGTATTTTCGGTCGCGGCGTCTACGCGCTTGTTGACGCAATTTGTCGCTTCGCACCGCAACATTGCGATGCATTTCTTCCAACACCGCTTGGAGATCCGTCACATGTTTCTGATGGGCGGCGCCAAGCCAGTCCGCGACGTAAACTTCCTTGGACGTCGGGTGGACAAATCCTGCCAGCGGGGTCTTCGCTGGCAGGCCGGTAAACGCTGTCACAGGTGCAATCCCTCCAAACCGGTCCGCCGGATGATGGTTGAGGGCACCTTGAACGAGGGGCAACACATGCGGCCATTCCATTTGTCCGCGTTCGGCTCCATTTCGCTGAGCAGCGCCTTCACGGCGCGGTTGACTACTTCTACAGTCCCGTTTGCCCAAGGACTGTACGCTTTCGTGATGTAATGGTGGGCACCCACCAACTTCCGCACGTTCTGGATCACTTCGTTCTTGAAGTGAGAGCCGCCATCTGACACCCATGTGTCAACGCAGCCGAACGTTGTAAACCACGTCATCAGGCACTGAGCGATCGCGGCGGCGTCAGCGGACTCTGCCGCGAACAGCTGCACAAAGCCACTTATGTCGTCCTTCACGACAAGCACTTGTTTTTGGCTAGACTTGGCCATGGGCATCGACAACCAGTCGAAATGGATGAGCTCGTTCGGCTTCTCCGCGTGAAGCACCGAACCCAATGAATGGGGAACCATGTCTCCGTCAATGCACAGGTAGTGCAAACAGGCACGCACGAACGCTTCGACGTCCGTGGAAAGCGTCTATCACACAAACTTGTCGGACCACCGACTTCGTTGTCACTGATATGCGACGGTGATCGCTGGCTCCTTGGTGAGCGATCACACAAATCCGCTGCTTTAGGTCAACAGCACCGTCTAGGATCCAGATTCGTCCATTTGGGTCCACGTAAAAATGGGATTCGTCGTCCCAATCCACGCCGTTTGGGGGGTCCCCTCCCCCTTCCATGGCTGAACGTTGGATGCCGCTGATCGTAGCGGCTGTCGGCCACTCGAAATTTACTTGTTGCAGAGGCGAAACGACATGGATCAACTTGCGAACAGTCGCAACTGGTTGATGAGTTGGAGCCGAACCCCATCGGCTCAAGAGGTCGGCCCATACATTCTCGTCACCCGAGACGCACTCAATGGTGTCATCACCAGCAACCATCGCTACAGCTTGCCGTCCTGGTACTTGGCCATGTTGGCGTTCGAGCCACTTGGGTTGAAAATGTACACCAGCTTGCGGTGATCCGTAAACAGACGGAAACCACCCGGGCGTACGACCAGGTAGTTGAGTCTCTTGCACGACTCGATCACGGCATAGGCCTCCTTCTCGACAATAGGCCAGCGCACATTCGAGCCAGAAAACGACCCACTGATAAACGCAAGCGGCTGGTGCCGCTGGTCTTCAAGAGGCAAATCCAAGTCCGCTGGCGGTACTTGTGTGGCGACCGCGCCCCAGAACAGGTCACTAGCGTCCGTAAAGGCGCAGACCGTCATGTCTTCTGGCTGGTGCGACAGGGGCACCACATGCGCGAACGCTTGTTTCACATAGCACCAACAAGGTTTCGGCTTCGCCAGGCGCGGTTATCTGGCACCGCGCCACACGGTGACCCATGTCACCGCACTTCAAGCAGCCCTTCTTGGCAGGTGGACCGGCGGTCTTGGGCACGATCACTTGGGCCTTTCCGCCGACTCTGCCATTGCTCTTGGCGGCATCTTTCCGGCCGCCGTCACAGTCTTGGACTTGCCGCATCGTGGAGCTTCTACCGGCTTCGCTGCCGGTGAAGGTTTGGACTCGTCGTCGAGTCCAACGTACAGCTGGTGGCCAGCTGCAAATGTTCGCAGTAACGAAAAACGTCGCTCTTCAACGCCTTGTTCGCTGAAACTGCAGCTGCTTTTGAGTCGCTGTCTTCAGCGACTCCGTCTTGATCGATTTCGTCATGACTTCGACGACCATCTTGCCTTCTTGGTGTAGTACCCCCTCCTGATGGTCGTGTTCTAATGAGCGCATCAGCTCGTCCAACATACGACTGACGCGGGACTCCACGTCCAATCTTTTCATATCGAAGCGAATTGCTCGCTGCAGACGTTGCTTCAAAACGTCCAAGTCTTGAGGGTCTTACTCAAACGCTGACTTGAACCACGCGACCCACTCATCGTTCGTGATGGAATTGTGGTCGTGGTTGAAGTCGAACAGCGCGATCCGACCCTGCGAGAACGGGTCCATGCAGGCACTCACGGGCATCGTGAACGGACGCGATCCATTGCACTGCAGAGCGTTGATCTACCCCAGATACTTTAAACACTTCTGGTACTCGCGCATAAAAGCGCGTCTTTTGGCCTTGGTCGAGCCCGAAAATGTCGCCGGCTACTGGAGCGCCGGCGCGTTGCAAACTTGCGGCGCCGTACAGCCGTAACCGCCATCGCTGCCCATGTCGGTATCGTCACGGACATCCGACGGGTCTTTGTCGGCTGGCAACGGCACTGAAGCGCCATCTGCTTCAGTCGTTGGTGGAGCAGCAGCTGAAACAAACACTGCGACAGATGGTGTTCCTCGGGTTGTGGCAGGGGTGTTCGTCGACAGAAGTGGCTGTCGTCGTCGGGGAGATCTGAACAGGTTCTCAACGGTGCGCCGAGCGGTGCGACCTCGCGGCTCCTTGATCCGGTCACGCGATCGTTCTTCGGCATTCGTTGGCGTTTCCTCGTCGGATGAATGTTCGCGTACCACGTCCAATGAAGGATACGAAATATATATTTGTTTTGTCTCCCGCTTCTTCTCGGCTTTCGGCCGCGGGACCTTCATCAGGGTAGCAAATATAACACTGACTTTAGTGGGGTTAAACACGCCGCGAGGCGCCTACTGTGTACCATTAACTAAAGTACTTGGTACCTCCACTAAGGTATCGGAACACCTGACACGACACACACACAGAGTATGTGTGTTTGCAATGGGTCAAACCGACGCGCGGCCCAATTGCTCTGCACGCTGCAGAACACTCACTCAGGTCATGTCTACTACCTGGGTAAAGTAGTATCGCTTCAACTCGAGCACCACTTCATACATATCACGGTGACTACAACTAGTACAATAGTTACAAACAACTCTACTGCTGTAGCTGTATTTCTTGAACCTTACTGTCTTTCCTAAAGTGCTTTCGTAATCGAACACTCCTTTAGGCCGTGGTCGGGCGCACCAAGAATTCGGTTATTTCGTGGATTCAGACTCTGGAATCCGTTTTTTTGTGTTCGATTGACAAAAATTAAAACCGGATCCTTGTGCAAGAATCCGGATTCTGGAAACCATCGATTTTGATGGTTTCTTGGAGGGATTGATTGGTTGGTATTCTGAAAAGCAGAATACCAACCAATCAATCCCTCAGAAATAATTAGAGATATTGAGGGGATTACGAAATGTCTACGAAGCCCTTTATAACTTGATATGTTCCTCACTTCGATACAGGTTTGACCCTGACATTGCAAGATCCGAGGACACAAGAACCATGACAGGTACACATACCATTCAAAGTTTATACTTAGAGATAATGAGGGGTTTACGAAATGTCTACGAAACCCTTATAATCTTATCCTTCGCTTGCAGCGATAAAGTTGCCACACACTTTGACTCTGCTGGATCCGCGCACACAAGAACGATGAATGATACGCATGTAAATCAAAGGTTATACTTCTTGATGAGAACATACATTGTTATATGTCATCTCGTCTAGTCTACACTTGCTAACTTCTCTATCATTTCTTTCCAATAAAGCGTTTGGCCAAGGCGGGCATACGATGGACGACACTCTCAGGTACGCCAGAGCTCAGCGCAAGTTTTAAAGTGTACACTGTAGGCTACTTCACTGTAGTCGGTGTCATCCGTGCGCCTTGGCTTGCGCGAGAAGGCGCCACTCCCGTGCCGGCATCCTTGGATTTACAATCATAATGCAGTTTGATTTGATAGATTATCTTTATTTACAGATGCAAGGACAATCACACGTTAATATGATATCACTACTGTATGTAATTTGCAGCCAAGGACCGTGGAAGTCTTCCAGTGGAGCACTGCACTTGACCATAGGCGAGCTTTCTGTGCATTCAGGCTTCAGTAGTCCCCGCCAACCCAATGCAATCTATGACTAGGTAATGTATAGCCATACTATACTAAAAATGAGACAGAATCATCGTTAAGTAAGCCCCAGAGAAGATTTCGTGGAATCGCCCATGTCGCGGGACGTGGCGCAGGAAGCCTATTATAATGATTCTGTTGTGGTATGGTGCACAACAAAGGGCTTGACTGCCCCACCTCACCAGGCCCTAGAGATGGCTGAGGTAGAGTAACGTTAATAGTGTGTGTGTGATGGTGGAGGTATTGCCATTGCCTTCGACATCAAAGTCAAGACACGCCCATCGTGCTCATAATTGTGCTCAGTATTCATACGATATTCATACGCAACAGCGCTTCTCGTACTGATAGCGTATTTTACTGCCATACCGAAGCAAGATACCTTGATCCCCAGTTGTTG